AATTTGTTTGTCATTTTTAATTTGAAAATATCCTTGCCTTCATTGTATTCTTTTTACAAGAAAACATGCATCTTACAAATGTTTTTATCATTTGTATTGTCTAGAATTTGATGTTTATGTATAAATGTTTGTTTTTAATGATTTCTTGCACATGTATTTTGTTTGAATATGTAGTGAGCCTTTTTGTATGTTTTTTTCTGTGAATAAATTTAGTGTATATATAGGTTATATAAAAAAAAAAAAAGAAAAGAAAAAGAAATGTATAATACTCAAAAACAACATGATGAACAAATTTTTTATTTGCTTTGAGGACAAAGCTTTTGTGGGCAAGGGGGGAGACTGTTATAGATAAGTTTAACTTGATAAAGTCTAAACTTTTAATGTAACAGGTTATATCGCATGAAATTTCACTTATGAAATTTAATGAAATTTTTACTTTTGTTTTAAATCATATTTCACTTCATTTTAAATATGCAAATTTAATTACATTTTATTTTAAGTGTTCAAATTAATTCAATTTCAAATAATCAATTTAATATGTTTTGAATGATCACTCTCTTAGATTTGAGTATAAATTTACATAGAAATATATGCGTTATTTAGCAAATTCAGTTTCATTTACATCGGCAATTCTTTTGATTTTGGCATGTTTTGTACTCAATTGCCATGTCACTGGACATCTAACAGCTGTTTTAACCTTTAGGTAAATAAGAAAATTCTTTCCAATTTCGGCCTCTTTTGAAATAAATTCTTTCGAAGATTGAGTTGACACATCGGAACTTTTTATAGATAAAATTATTTACTTTCACCATCGGTCAGCTTAATCCTTTCTTTGTTAATAACTCTTTTCTCGGAAACTAGGTAATTGACTTTAACACTTTTCGCTGTTTTGTTAACATAAGTAATTAGTGTCAACTCATCTAAGAAATTCTGCAAAAAAAAATTAGCTTAAGGACATCGAAATCAAGCTTCCTGATTGGTCATTGAGAGCAATTCCGAATTAAGCCGGGTGGAAAGCGAATTCATGAAATTCACTTTCCATTCGATGCTTAAAGAATAAAGAAGTACATTTAATTTATAGGAATTTGTTTCTCTTTTCCATCAGGTAAGCTTGAATAAATTTATTTTGGTATTTTCAGTAAATTTTCATTCAAATATTGTTTTTATGCTCTTTTGATGAATTCAATAGATTTTATGTTTTATATTCTGAATGGGCAAACATTCTATTATTTTTAACTTTTTGGTGAACTTTGAGTTTGTCACTTTATTCATAATTTTAGAATTGTATGACTTTCTTACCTTTAACTTGTTTGCATACTTGTTTGATACTGATTTATTTTTACTTAATGTGTTTTGTATTGTTTGTTAAAATTGTGATTAATTAATTGAAATTTTTGTGCAAAGTTTCTTAATTTAATTCTTTGAAATCTCTTTTTATAAATTTGAACTTCCCGCGCTGATATTGTTAAACCTGTAGTGAACTCTTCAATGTAGGAAGGTAAATTTGTTAAGCGATAGAAATTCGTCGGCTAAGTGTCAGAAACATTTTCAAGATGTTTTCTTCTTTATTATTGAATGACAATAGGTAACAGTTTGATTTCTGAATTTTATACATTTTATAAGCGTTATGCATAATTTGATTTCTTCGGAGTTATTCATCTTTAGTTTATAAGCATGAAACAATCATACCTTCTCTCATCGAGTTTACTACAGGGTGTATCGAAATTTGTTAACTTGTGTTTTTTTCACTTTCCATTCGATGCTTAAAGAATAAAGAAGTACATTTAATTTATAGGAATTTGTTTCTCTTTTCCATCAGATATAGCACCCAGTAGAAAGCCGAGTGGCGTACTACAAGCTAATTCCCCAGACATTCACACGATACAAAAGTGTGTGTGAAAGTTTGACCTACTTTTGGAAAGCTTTTACCTTGGCCATTACTTTTGAACAGATGGTGCTAGGGCTTTTATATTTCATATATGTAATCCTTGTGACAAGAAATTACTTTGGATACCAACAACTTTGACCCTTTGACCTTGGAGTTTGACCTATTTCTGAAAAACTTTATCCTTGGTCATAACTTTTGAATAGTTGGTGCTAAGACTTTCAAACTTCACATGTGTATTTCTTGTGAGAAGGCCTTTCCTTGGGCACCATTAATTTTGACCTTGATCTTGCTTTTGAAAACCTTTAACCTTTTCCATATCTTTTCAATGATTGCTGTTAGGGCTTTCATATTTCACAGGTGTATTCCTTACTTTGGGTACCAAGATATTTGATTTGCATTTTAGAAAGTTTAACCTTCGCTATAAGTTGCCATACGGGGGCATCAGTGTTTCACAAACACATCTTCTTCATCTTAAATTGGAAAAATTACTTTAAAAAATCTCAAAAAGAGTTGTAGAAAACATTTTTAAAATAAGGTTAAATTTGAAAGTTTTTCAATTTGTAGAAAACTGGCTTAATGAATTATTACATTTTAACAATATTTGGACTGCTACAAACAAAAAAAAACACTCTCTACATAAATAATACTTTACTCTCATTGTCAGGTACATCGCATATTTTTCTCATATGTATATTGGAATGTCTCAAGCTATCAGGGGTTCACCTCAGAACATAATTTATCCCTGTTATCAAAACATAAAAATAAATGGAATATAATACCATTCAAAATATATGATAATAACTGTGTGAATTGTAGAAATAAAATTCAATAAATATGTAAATTTCCTCTTTCTAAGAAGTCAAATACAAATATTAAATTAATTTATGCTTCTATACTTTCTATTAAAAACAATTAAAGCTTTATATATTCTCTGTAGAAATGAATAAAGAAATATTATGCAATTCTGTCAACATAGTAACTCCACTTCTAAAAAGTTGCATAGGACTCTCCTCTCAAAACTTAATAATAGAAAAATCAAATTTACAGAAAGGAGCATACATACATGTCCTCTGTATAGTGTATAAGAACATTTATTGACTATGTTTAATAATACCCATATCATTCACAAAATCCCTGCATTTTGTAGGTTGCAACCAAAAAAAACCCATTTCCTGTAATGTTGCATAATTCTAACATACAATGTTCTTGATGCATACTTTCTTTCTAGGGTATAGCATAACTTTCTATTCTGGGTTTCTTGGTGTGACATCTGCACTGATATATTGAAAACATACTTTTTCCAGAGACTCATAATTCTGCAGAATCACAATTTCTGTTCAATCTGCGATAGAAAAAAAACACAAATTTCTTGGAATGCCATAGTATGTCTTAATTGCACTTCGACAATGAGCTGTGACAAATTTCCACTGAAAAATTGTGACCACACACAAAGCATAAATTAATTCCACATGGAAAAAGTATGTGTTCAGTAATATAATTTAATACACTAATATTATCCCAGTCCATTTCCTATTATAAAGCATTAAATTTCATTTTCCTAATATTAAAGATGTGGAGATTCTGTAAAGTAAGTGACTTCCTTCTTTATAAATGTAATCATCACTATGAGCAAAAGAACTGTTTGGCATTTTACCTTGTACAATCCAATAAAAAAAATTCATCTACACTATATATTCCTTGCAAGTACCTATAAAGTAAAAAATATATACAGTAATATACATACCACAACAAAATAGAAATTGTCAAGCTACCCTTTAGATACATATATGTAACAATCATTAAAATAAATATCAATACAATGTATGAACTTGAAGAAATTGAGTAAAGTTTATAGCATAAACATAAGTAAAGCTGAAAAGTCTATTTGAATTTGTCAAGTAGTCTATATATGTATAAAGTTTACAGCTATTTGGGCCTGATATTCTCATTTCAAAATACTTATATATTCAATTTCCATCTCCAAACCACAGTTTAAAACATCATTTATTAATATTATTCATCTATTGAGACTCACTTTATAACAGTCTGCACTGCACAACATCAACCACTGGGAGTATTTTTATGACAAGACATTTATCTTGCCTTTTTTGTATTACATATACAAAACATATAGAAAACTGCTGTAAAACTTGCTAAAAAAATTTTGAAAGAATCCTTATTTGCAGGAAATCATTTTCAATTTTTCTGAAATTTTAATAGATACGTTTGATCGCCTTTTGAAGAAAATATTTAAAGAACTGTGTCATATGATATTCTTAATTACAATACAATTTAATAGTTCTGAAAAAGATAAGAAAATAAAGTTATCGTCATTATTAATCATAAAAAAACATAAACTGAATGGTTTTTATGGGGTCTGTCTATGGAGTATGATTTTAGAATGCTTGTAACACAATGTTATCCTTTTGTCATTCTCTCTTCAACATTAACTGATTGAATACAGATGCATGCACTTAACAATTAACAACGAGAAGAAATAAAATGTATTATCTGTGAAACAAACATTTTTTAAACTTCCTCATGCATAACTTTCTTATACGGTTTCTTATAGCCAGTGGTAATTATTATGATCTCTTATACAGTTGTGCCAAGAATTTCCTCTTTTAAGTTTTACTGTAAAACAGAAAAAACAACTTATTGCTAAAACATTTGTGAAAAAATGAACAGTTTTGGAAATCTCCACTACAATGCAATCATATTTATTTTCAGTGCAAGACACATAGTAAATCATTCTTATAAGTACTTTTTTAAAATAAGCAAGATTGTCTTAATTTAGCAACTGCTGATAAGTAGATGAAATATGGATTTATATGAACTAATATCAAAAGTACATTTTTCTTCAAAAAAAAAAAACAACTCTAAATTTATATGCAATGATCTTATTTTTTTCAAAATCTTGAGTATTAGTGACTCTAGCATAATTGGAGATAAGATCAGCATGTCCCATATACATATACATGTACTTTGTAATTTTAGAAAATTATCTGTTAACAAAAATAGAATACTTGCAAAAATAGTATCTTTCATCTTATAGGCAGCTTGGTGTTTTGAAAATTTAACAACCAATCAATCAGATGTTAAAAATCAAAAAAATAGATAGTTTTGTGACATACAATGCACCTTAGATATAAACATCTTATTATAAGATCTACACATAGATTACATACATATTTATACATAAATACAATGTACTTAAAAACAATTGTAACAAAATATTGCTGATGAATGGATTGAAACACAGATTCCTTTGCTGCAGTTTTGGTTCTGAATCCGTCTTAAGGATGAAAATGAGTTAAAATGATACAAGATGTCAATGATTCTAAATGCTAGAATGTGATATCTGCCTGTTGTTCAAAATGTTTCACATATATATCAATGATATGTCATTTAGTCTACTTGACATTATGTCAAAATGCCATTCTACTAAGTCTACATGTATATGCATCAAACACACACCTCAAAACATCAGTTGCTAGACATGAATCTATGACAATGTAATGAAGACATGGACAGCTAGGATTTGGACTTTTTGTTATCGTCCCTCATAAGAGTCACAAGTCCTCCAAGTCGTACTTGGTAAGTGCGTGCTCCCCATGAAATAGTTCTGGGTTGAATGAAAGCTTCTAAAAATGTCCATGTGGATAAAATTTCACGGAATAACCAAACAAAAATATACTGTAGTTTTGAAAATAGCAAGGGTCCACCCTGTAAAAAGACAAAATAAGAATAATTGATGAAAATAAAACAAAATACTCGTTAAATATGGTACACAGTTTTGCAATGCTTCATTCTTACCTATACACAACTTTTAAAATGTTATAAGCAGACATTCTCTACCCATAATCTGCATTTTTTTGCTATTGCAATAATGATATTATGATCATTTCATATTACCGGTAGAGTTGCCTTTGCAATAAAGATATAATTAATTTCATATTATAATTTAAACACAATAATTAGTTAGCTGATTACAATTTTCATACCTGTATATTACATAGCTGAATGTAGTCCAACACACAGTTGAGTATAATATGGCATGTGAAGAAATAATATGGATTGATTCCAAAAAAATGATAGAAGGCCCAGGACGAATGAAGGGAAAGAATAAGAATTTCATGTAGAGGTTCAAGAAGCCCACTAACTAATGGCATCATATTGATACGTAGTCGAATCCACCTAAAAATGAATAGACATACAAGTACACATTAATTTTTTTAAAATGCCTTACAAAATAAGGTACCTTTAATTGGAGTGCAGCAGATTTTTCAGTTACAAAGAAAATTCTGTACACTATTTCATCAAACTTTTGGATATGTACCCTGTAACAAGCAGGTGAGAATTTCAAAAAATGAGTAAGATAAATAATTATCTCTTTATAATCATCCAACACTTTGTGTGCTAGTTGTCTTGAGTAATGAAGGTATTCAAAGACATAATGAATTTTCAATACACATCTTAGCTACACCTTGGGCTTGAATCGTTTTAGGGAACATAAATTACAATATTGCAGGTAGCTAGAGGCTATCTGCTCTTTATAATATAATCATGTGAACAGTTTGGCTGCTAAATGTCTAAGAGTGAAGAGGAAAATGTTCTGAAAAGTATAATTTTGCTCTTTGTGCACTGTTGCTCTGGAATAATCAGCTCAATCAGTGATAATGATTTACCAACTTCACAGGTAAACATGTCCTTAGGTACAAACCTCCCATCATATTTCAAAGTTTTGAAATTGGTCTACAGTGGCAATTACAACCAGAAGTCTCTGATGAGACTGTAGCTCTACTGGTCTGTTTGTATAACAAAAGAAAAATAGCACTTGGATTTGAAACATTGCAACATGCAACAATAAATAGAATTATGTATCTTAATGTAGTCTACTTTTGTGACAAGTTATATTGAAATCAAATGAAAACTAGGAGTAGTAGCGTTTTGAAAGTATTTCACGGAAATTTCTATTTTTAGTACCGGTAACCATGACAACACCATTCACCCAAATAAAAAAAACAGAAATACATATTATGTATCATAGTGTATTCTAACTGTGTGCCAAATTAGATTGAAATCAGACCAAAATTGTAGGAGAAGTAACGTCTTAAAGGAATTTCACAGAAATTTCTATTTTAAGTAACCATGGCAACACTGTTCATCGAATTCAAAAACCAATGCAATAAATTATGTATCTTAGTATAGTCTTCTTGTATGCCTAATTATATTAGAAGCAGACTAAAACTGTAGCAGGAGTAGTGTTTTAAAGGAATTTCACAGAAATTTCTATTTTTAGTAACCATGGCAACACCGTCCATTGAATTCAAAAACCGATGCAATAAATTATGCATCTTAGTGTAGTGTACTTGTGTGCCAAGTTATATTGAAATCGGACCAAAACTGTAGGAGGAGTAGCGTTTTAAAGGAATTTCACAGAAATTTCTATTTTTAGTAACCATGGCAACACCGTCCATCGAAATCAAAAACCGATGCAATAAATTATGTATCTTAGTGTAGTCTACTTGTGTGCCAAGTTATATTGAAATCGGACCAAAACTGTAGGAGGAGTAGCGTTTTAAAGGAATTTCACAGAAATTTCTATTTTTAGTAACCATGGCAACACCGTCCATCGAAATCAAAAACCGATGCACTAATTTATGTATCTTAGTGTAGTCTACTTGTGTGCCAAGTTATATTGAAATCGGACTAAAACTGTAGGAGGAGTAGCGTTTTAAAGGAATTTCACAGAAATTTCTATTTTTAGTAACCATGGCAACACCGTCCATCGAAATCAAAAACCGATGCACTAAATTATGCATCTTAGTGTAGTCTACTTGTGTGCCAAGTTATATTGAAATCGGACCAAAACTGTAGGAGGAGTAGCGTTTTAAAGGAATTTCACAGAAATTTCTATTTTTAGTAACCATGGCAACACCGTCCATCGAAATCAAAAACCGATGCACTAAATTATGTATCTTAGTGTAGTCTACTTGTGTGCCAAGTTATATTGAAATTGGACCAAAACTGTAGGAGGAGTAGCGTTTTAAAGGAATTTCACAGAAATTTCTATTTTTAATAACCATGGCAACACCGTCCATCGAAATCAAAAACCGATGCACTAAATTATGTATCTTAGTGTAGTCTACTTGTGTGCCAAGTTATATTGAAATCGGACCAAAACTGTAGGAGGAGTAGCGTTTTAAAGGAATTTCACAGAAATTTCTATTTTTAGTAACCATGGCAACACCGTCCATCGAAATCAAAAACCGATGCACTAAATTATGTATCTTAGTGTAGTCTACTTGTGTGCCAAGTTGTATTGAAATCGGACCAAAACTGTAGGAGGAGTAGCGTTTTGAAAAATTGTTTACAGACAGACGGACAGACAGACAGACAGACAGACAGACAGACAGACGGACGGACGGACGACGGACACCTTACTATCGCATAAGCTCTTCTGGTCTCTGACCAGTAGAGCTAAAAACATGTGCTGAAGATTACACTTTTTCAACCAGAAGTCTCTGATGAGACTGTAGCTCTACTGGTCTGTTTGTATAACAAAAGAAAAGTAGCACTTGGATTTGAAACATTGCAACATGCAACAATAAATAGAATTATGTATCTTAATGTAGTCTACTTTTGTGACAAGTTATATTGAAATCAAATGAAAACTAGGAGTAGTAGCGTTTTGAAAGTATTTCACGGAAATTTCTATTTTTAGTAACCATGACAACACCATTCACCCAAATAAAAAAAAACAGAAATACATATTATGTATCGTAGTGTATTCTAACTGTGTGCCAAATTAGATTGAAATCAGACCAAAATTGTAGGAGGAGTAACGTTTTAAAGGAATTTCAAAGAAATTTCTATTTTTAGTAACCATGGCAACACCGTCCATCGAAATCAAAAACCGATGCACTAAATTATGTACCTTAGTGTAGTCTACTTGTGTGCCAAGTTATATTGAAATCGGACCAAAACTGTAGGAGGAGTAGCGTTTTAAAGGAATTTCACAGAAATTTCTATTTTTAGTAACCATGGCAACACCGTCCATCGAAATCAAAAACCGATGCACTAAATTATGTATCTTAGTGTAGTCTACTTGTGTGCCAAGTTATATTGAAATAGGACCAAAACTGTAGGAGGAGTAACGTTTTAAAGGAATTTCACAGAAATTTCTATTTTTAGTAACCATGGCAACACCGTCCATCGAAATCAAAAACCGATGCACTAAATTATGTATCTTAGTGTAGTCTACTTGTGTGCCAAGTTATATTGAAATCGGACCAACCCTATAGGAGGAGTAGCGTTTTAAAGGAATTTCACAGAAATTTCTATTTTTAGTAACCATGGCAACACCGTCCATCGAAATCAAAAACCGATGCACTAAATTATGTATCTTAGTGTAGTCTACTTGTGTGCCAAGTTATATTGAAATCGGACCAAAACTGTAGGAGGAGTAGCGTTTTAAAGGAATTTCACAGAAATTTCTATTTTTAGTAACCATGGCAACACCGTCCATCGAAATCAAAAACCAATGCACTAAATTATGTATCTTAGTGTAGTCTACTTGTGTGCCAAGTTATATTGAAATCGGACCAAAACTGTAGGAGGAGTAGCGTTTTAAAGGAATTTCACAGAAATTTCTATTTTTAGTAACCAAGGCAACACCGTCCATCGAAATCAAAAACCAATGCACTAAATTATGTATCTTAGTGTAGTCTACTTGTGTGCCAAGTTATATTGAATTCGGACCAAAACTGTAGGAGGAGTAGCGTTTTAAAGGAATTTCACAGAAATTTCTATTTTTAGTAACCATGGCAACACCGTCCATCGAAATCAAAAACCGATGCACTAAATTATGTATCTTAGTGTAGTCTACTTGTGTGCCAAGTTATATTGAAATCGGACCAAAACTGTAGGAGGAGTAGCGTTTTAAAGGAATTTCACAGAAATTTCTATTTTTAGTAACCATGGCAACACTGTCCATCGAAATCAAAAACCGATGCACTAAATTATGTATCTTAGTGTAGTCTACTTGTGTGCCAAGTTATATTGAAATCGGACCAAAACTGTAGGAGGAGTAGCGTTTTGAAAAATTGTTTACAGACAGACGGACAGACAGACAGACAGACAGACAGACAGACAGACAGACGGACGGACGACGGACACCTTACTATCGCATAAGCTCTTCTGGTCTCTGACCAGTAGAGCTAAAAAAGGAAAAATATCACATGTAAAATACCTATATAAATTAATATATAAAAACAATGTATTTACACTGCATGTCCATGAGTGCCTACTGGTACAAACAAGTATGCATTTGACCCAGCCCCTCCCTTCTTTCAAACCATCTCTATGCCCGTGCAAGAAAATTTATCAGTTTGAAGATTCTAAATTACTTTTCATCATTACTTGCAAAATATACATGCATCCAGAAAATATCTCTTGCATTATGTTATACACACAATTTTGCCTATTTACAGCATTATACAATCTCTGATGATGCATCACTTAGAATTTCTGAAAGCAATTTACACCATGTCAGTTGACAGTGTTTATTGACTGATAATGACATCAGACAATCTTGCTCTGCTTGTGACCACTGATCCAAAATTGAATGCAAGAACCTTTAATTTGTCCAGTAAAGAGAAATTTAGTAATGTTTCTTTTTAACTGATTTATGCTAAAATAATATTCCCTATGTTGAAAAGTATGGAAGAAAGTGTACATTTTAACTGAAATTTAAGCTTATTTGTGAGTGGAAAAAACAATAGAAATAAAACAAAACTAAAAAATGTTCTGTTTGGTTTTTTTCTAAACTTTGACAATGATTTTCACTCCAATTGCGATCAGAATACACTTGTCATCAAAAAGTATACATGTATAAAAATATCAAAGGTTTCATTTGATGACCACCTAAAACAGTCTAAACAGTACAAAGACAGTCTAGCTGGTATATGTTACAGTGCATTATTTTGTGTACTGACCTGACCATACGATCCTTAAATGCTCTGATAGTTGGTGCTGCCACATTTTGTTGGGCTGGAAAAGCTGATAAAACCAGCTTGTATCCTCTTAAAAATCAAAATAATTGTCAAATATTCATCTTTCCTTTCACAAAAAGATTGAAATATTAAACTTAGTATATATACACATAAAGTCACGTGCTTGATGATAAATTTCATGATACCTAGTTTATGAATGTTCAAAGTGACCAATTCTTACTTATTATGAATAGCTTGTGTTAAAAAGAAATCCTCTGCCAAGTATTTTCCATAATATATCAATCCATTGACATCATCTACTACTGACTTCTTGAACATGTAGGACATTCCTGTACAGCAAGCCTGGCTTAACTGGTTCAGGGCAATGTAAAACCGGGATAAGGCACAACCAAAGTACACCTATAAAATCAACCATACAAGTCTCAGTAAGTCAACATATTCATCAACATTATTCTGTTTCTTTCAGAGCCTTCACTCTCTCTATAAAATAATTTGATGGAAGTGAGGACAAATGTAAAATTCATTTATCTTTATTGCAGGGTTAGAGGCATCACAAAGTAAGACATCTCTTCTTCAAAAGCTCTAGCCCCAAGACCATAAACTGAGAATAGACTTAAGTCAAATTTTTGATTCTCAGTATTTTGAGTTTTATTTTACATAGGTGTTTCGAAATTTGCATGTTTGTTAACTATCTTAAATTGAACAAATGATGAAAATTTTGTTTGATTATAAAAATTATTTCAGAAGTTATATTCATTTAAAATTCTGACTTAAGTCTGTTCTAAGTTTATGGTCTTGAGGCCTGATTACAGACACACAAACAACACAAATGTTGATTTCCACCTTCAATTTCATCCTCTGGCTATCTTAATTACTCTGTAGGCTGCATGCATAGGCCTGAACGGTGTCCTAATTATCTTTGACAATCCTATTTTAAATTTGATCATGTCTCTTAATCCTATAGTCTGTTCCAAAAGGGAGCTCCAACAACAGTTTAAATAATATCATATAAATTTTGACTTGTTTTCAAAGAAAAATCAGTAAGCAGTAAAGTTTTCATCATTTTCTGGCCATTTCAGTCAGACTGTATACAAATAAATTGAAACAAAGCAGTGTGACACAATTTTTCAAAATCTATGGAAATTTACAATGTACTTAATAAGTTAATTTCATCCCTTCTATCAAGCACGTACATGTAAGGGAGTTGTCATTATTTCTGAGTGTAATGTAACCTATAAATTGATTTTGAATGTGTACTGCATTGTTATTACTAGAAAACAATGGAAAATAACAAATAATGAGGATCCCTCTCTGAAGTGGCAGCTACTTTCATAATGCTTATTTAATCCCCATAAACTGAGGATTTGTTGCTGAGTCAGTGTACTAGCTAAACTGGAGGGTTAAATCTGAAGCAAGAACTTTGGAGGAAATATGATTTATTAGTACAGCCAAGTTGTAAAACCAATGTTATTTAACAGTATGTATTTTGTCTATGAGATATAATGCAAAAAGTGATGACACTGGTACTGTGGGTAAGACTATAATATTCAATAGGCCTTTCTTCTGTTCCCCTAATATATTTCTTTAGCAAGTGAACTTCAAAATGACAAATGATACTCTTACTGTGTGACTATTGCACCCTATGTCAAAACATTTAAATCTGACTTTGACCTTAGACCTGTTGAACTCCAAATTCAATCTCAAGCCTCTCTGTACTTATTTAGCAAGTACACCTTAAATTGTCCTCTACAACACACTGTCAAACATTTACTTTGTCTTTTGTAACATGGTATCTCTGTAGCAGGGTCTGTTTTTTCATACTGATACTTAAATACAAGCCCACATACACATACACACATTCATATACAGATATTTATCAGTTGTATTACTCTATTACTATATATCCTTTATCATTACAAGGGACCAAAATTTGGGTTGAAGATCTGTCATGATATTCAATTGCTTATCATAAAAAGCTAGACTTTGTACTCCACATTTCAAAAATAATAAAACACCCACTTCTATTCATTTACATGTATGCTAATTAAGTTATGGACAAGCAAGAAGTGTTCAGTTCAAAGAACATTTTATATTTCAGCTTTATAAACTTACTTTTTCTAAGCTAGCTGCTATCCCTTTCTGGTCTGTAACAAATGGCATTTGATGAACTAAACCTACATTTGGCTTCTTCAGTTTACAAGCAAGATCTAGGATGATTTCTGATGATGCTGTAGATGTTAAAAAAAACATACTTAGTCATTCTCAATAGCCTACTTTTCATGATATTATTTATTTTGTATGTGATACACGTTGTAACAGGTAACTTCCAAAAACAACAACTATAAATAAGAATTTTTCTTACCTTTGATCCGACTTGTACTAATCCAAACATTGGGATATTTTGCATTCTCATATGCAGGAGCCATGTTAAATACCATTGGATTAATGATACCTTCCTTCCCACCTTAAAATAAGAAAACAGAAAATAATCTAATGACTGCATGGTCAGGGTGATAAAAAAAAACTTTTCTGATCAATTTTTCATTACACAAGTACACAAAATCATATAATCACTCATATCTATGGTGCTCTTGCATATCCCCAAAATAAGGTTTTCTTTAAAATGCTAAATGTTAAACCTTGCAGGATTTACTATTCTTAATAAACATATTTTATAATCAAATTAACTACATTGTTAAGTAGATTCTACAAGGGATTTTGTTACTGAGAGTCCGAAAGTACTTATAAATGAAGAAAACTGAGGTAGTAATGTCTGGGATTTTGATCATCACTATAGTTACCAGGTAACTATGTGGACTGAACTTCTGTTGTGAATGATAAACTTACTATAGGGTGAAGCCACACCTGGTGATAAAATTTTTTATAAAGGAATATATATTGAATAAATCTGTTGAAGAACAGCAGGACCATTATAACTCAGGTAAGTGTCATTGCCCATGGGCCTCACATTTTATTTACTTTCTTGCTTCACAATAAACCAAGTGCAATAAGAGTTTTGTTTTACTGGTAGTTTCAATGTGGACAAAACAAATTTTTACATCTCATGGAACAAGTGTATAATGGTAACCATTTGACCACAGCTAATTTCACTCCTCCAGAAGAAGTAGACATGTGCTTTTTTGCATCCTGGTGAAAAATGTCAATATTTTTTTCAAAAATAATTCATTTATAAAGAGAACAGCGCAACGCATAAAATGTATATTTTTTTGCTTAGCGTTACCCTTGAATTCTCAAATATATAATTAGTGGCCTGACCTGAGTGTTCAAAATAATCTTATAATATATATCTGATATTATATAACAATTGATAAAACTGTTCAAAATATGGTTGGAACCATTGAAATATTGCCCCTCCATAATATAAAGCAATTTTTCATATTTGTAACCATTAAAAAAAGCCATCTACTAAATTTTTTTTAAAGTTTTATCATCCTTAAGATAAGATCTAGTAAATGAAAGGAGCCTACAGGTTTCTCAAACATGAAAAAATGGAATTCCTTTATGATGCTTAATTACCATATCTTGATTCAATATTAAAGTGTACTACGGTATAATTTTTCAGTAAACACAGCAAAATTACATGCTTTAAACCAACATTTTCAATGCAAAATGAAGAAAATTGGCCATGAATTTGAGACTTTTTTCAATATCACACAAATGAAATGTATCCAGATTGCCAACAGTCTCTTAGAAAATGGAAATTCATATGTTCTTGACTTCTTTAAAATAATTAGATTAAAAGTGAGTCTCTAGATCATTTCTCACATAATTTCAAATTGAATGCCATGAAAGTGCTTCATTTTCTACATAATTTAAGGATAGCTGTAAATTATGGAAAAAAGTAAGATTGAATTAGTTATGACGTCATAATAGATCTGGCACCAAAATACAGTGCAAACTCTTGAGGTCACAATCTAGTAAATAAATATATTTACATTCCACATGTATTTTGCTTATAAAGCGTGTGGAAAGCCACACCATTCAAAACACCATAACACGGATGGGGAGGTCAAAAAGTTAAATAAAGGATGATTTTTACGTATTTTGAGGTCAAAACATTGAACAGCGTGCAACATCATAAGGGAAAATTAAAATTCAGGCTCACATGAGCAGTTTAATGGTAGTAACTGATACAATGGCTCATCCAGTAATTGTAACTGTCTAACTTACTCGAAGGATTAGATATGAATTTTTAAACATGTAACATTTGTAGACAAAGCAGGGAGTTATAAAATATAAATATAAGCATTGAAACATTATTTTTTGAAAGATGTAGTCTCGATCGTTACTCAATTTGTTTGCATACACCATTGCACTTAAGAGACTATGTATCTTTCAAGTGGACTCTACAGAAATATATGGCCTTTAATATACACACTTCTTCCTTTCCCGTCCACTCCCTGCTTACCTTGTAAGCGATAAATGTACCTGATTCCCACCAGAACTTACCAGTAAACAGCTGTGAATCCACATTAGGGTATTTCTCTTGCAGTCTTTTCACAAGGTTAATTGCAGGATCTTGATCATCTGGCACACAGAACAGAAGTTCAAACTAAAGAGAAAATAATACGTCATACATCGATCTGATCAGCACAAAAATGTACCACTTTTGAAATATTATTTTATACATGCTTTCTATTATTTAAGTGAAGAGAATTTTTTTAATTACTATTCACTTTTTATGTGGCACTCTAGTCATTCACAATACTTGCTTAAGGATGTTGGGGTTGTGTAAGTTTATGGAATAATATTATACATGTATATAAAACAATCCTGGATGTGTTATCAGATACTAGTACTCATGTTATAAGAGATGAAAAGTCTGGTAAATGCAACTCATGTTTATTTTTCATTTACATACTAGTTTTTTCCTGCGATTTAATCTATTTTGTTCTTTTGTTCAATATTCTGGCAAATGAGACATTAAACATTAAAACATTTGATGGTTACTTAGTCTTAGGACAAAGTCCTAATTACATACAGCTAAACTAAAGATAAAGCATATTGTCTGAAAGGTTTGCCAGATGAAACTAAAATACACAGAGATTTCCAATGCAGCTTCCATTATTAAGTGTATTGATCATAGTATTCACCGAATTAATTCATGCATTTGTAGCTAGCCTCTAGCAAATTTCAAGCTTACCATTAAATCGGGTGATTTTCAAACAATTACTTTGTCAAAGCAGAGTATTTAAACATGGGAAAAAAAATGGCTGAAAACAGTGCCATGTTAGATTTATTATACTTTTAGTTGGGTTTTAGGCTATATCTCAATATTTTATTTTACAGCTCTAGCTTATTTAATACAGGATTATATGTACCAGCTACTATATAAAAAAAATAACCAGAAGTCTCTGATGAGACTGTAGCTCTACTGGTCTGTTTGTATAACAAAAGAAAAGTAGCACTTGGATTTGAAACATTGCAACATGCAACAATAAATAGAATTATGTATCTTAATGTAGTCTACTTTTGTGACAAGTTATATTGAAATCAAATGAAAACTAGGAGTAGTAGCGTTTTGAAAGCATTTCACGGAAATTTCTATTTTTAGTACCGGTAACCATGACAACACCATTCACCCAAATAAAAAAAAACAGAAATACATATTATGTATCGTAGTGTATTCTAACTGCGTGCCAAATTAGATTGAAATCAGACCAAAATTGTAGGAGGAGTAACGTTTTAAAGGAATTTCACAGACATTTCCATTTTTAGTAACCATGGCAACACTGTTCATCGAATTCAAAAACCAATGCAATAAATTATGTATCTTAGTATAGTCTTCTTGTATGCCTAATTATATTAGAAGCAGACTAAAACTGTAGCAGGAGTAGTGTTTTAAAGGAATTTCACAGAAATTCCTATTTTTAGTAACCATGGCAACACCGTCCATCGAAATCAAAAACCGATGCACTAAATTATGTATCTTAGTGTAGTCTACTTGTGTGCCAAGTTATATTGAAATCGGACCAAAACTGTAGGAGGAGTAGCGTTTTAAAGAAATTTCACAGAAATTTCTATTTTTAGTAACCATGACAACACCGTCCATCGAAATCAAAAACCGATGCACTAAATTATGTATCTTAGTGTAGTCTACTTGTGTGCCAAGTTATATTGAAATCGGACCAAAACTGTAGGAGGAGTAGCGTTTTAAAGAAATTTCACAGAAATTTCTATTTTTAGTAACCATGACAACACCGTCCATCGAAATCAAAAACCGATGCACTAAATTATGTATCTTAGTGTAGTCTACTTGTGTGCCAAGTTATATTGAAATCGGACCAAAACTGTAGGAGGAGTAGCGTTTTAAAGAAATTTCACAGAAATTTCTATTTTTAGTAACCATGACAACACCGTCCATCGAAATCAAAAACCGATGCACTAAATTATGTATCTTAGTGTAGTCTACTTGTGTGCCAAGTTATACTGAAATCGGACCAAAACTGTAGGAGGAGTAGCGTTTTAAAGAAATTTCACAGAAATTTCTATTTTTAGTAACCATGGCAACACCGTCCATCGAAATCAAAAACCGATGCACTTAATTATGTATCTTAGTGTAGTCTACTTGTGTGCCAAGTTATATTGAAATCGGACCAAAACTGTAGGAGGAGTAGCGTTTTGAAAAATTGTTTACAGACAGACGGACAGACAGACAGACAGACAGACAGACAGACAGACAGACGGACGACGGACACCTTACTATCGCATAAGCTCTTCTGGTCTCTGACCAGTAGAGCTAAAAACAAAACAAACACTTGATCTGATTTGATGACAGAATAAGAAAAAGACTTCACAAAAGATATTTAGAACTCGACAGATAGGACAGTGTATCTTTGATAATATTACTGACCAAATAAAGTACAAAAAGCATTCAGCTTGTAGTTATTGTCATTACATTTTCATATGGTCTGTTGATAGTGTTTTTGATTTTGATACATATTTCTTTGACCTGATGTTACAATGCAAATAATCATCTAATGAATTCAATATTAAGCTACAAGCTTACATTTGGATATTTCATGGTAAAATGGCTCTCTAGATTTTCCTCCAGTAATGGGTCTACTCCCATCAATGGTTTTATGACAGACACTCCTGGTAAATTCTCATCAAACGAGATCAGGTCAGACTTCCGATACAGAACACATTTCCTGGGAAAAAAAATCACAGGTTAAAGACAGTGCACTCTTTTTCTGAATATTTACATGCTAGTATGGATATGTTAAAAATTTAATACTTATTACAACTTTTTTGTTTTTAATTATTGTAAATCAAAGATTCCCTTCAGCCAATTTTCTTTTGATATTTTATGTCATTCAATCTTCAACATCACTTGAGTTTTTCTTTCAAATAAATTCTCTACATTTACAAATTACACACAGTAGCAAATACTGAAAATAAAAGTACTTTATTAAATTACAAAAGAAAAGTTTAATAAGTAACAACAATATTGCTTTCATTAAATTGTAAGTTAACTTTTCTTTTGTAATTTAATTGAATACTTTATTAATAACTGAACCTAAAATTTTCTGAATTATCTCTATATACTTACGCTCCTATGAAAGACAATATTGACATGAACCAGAAAATAACAAAGAAAATAATGGAGACCGTGGCCAGAAAGAACAGGATATAGTCCAAGCTCTGTGGGTCCAGGTAATACATTTTCTGAGGATAAAATAAAGTAGACTTCTTTAGTTAAAAAAATCTGTTTATAGTGAAGAAAAAATGCTAGAACAGAAGAATACAAAATTTGTCAAAGATAAATCTAATTGCTTATTATTTTATATCAAAACAAAACTCCTAAATTCCTCTGTCAATGTCTAGTCAAATTTTATTATATGGCATTTTAAAATGAACAAATTAACCATTGTCTGGATTATAAAAATCAATCAAATGTCTACAATGAAAACATGCCAATTTACAATGATAATAATCCTTTTAAAATTGTCCATCTGTAACAAGCCAGAGAGCACAAGACCTACACGAGACTTTAAATACTGAAACGTATACTAAAAAATTCCAATTCTATTAATACATGATCTTGACCAAATCAATACATGTCTCCTCATGAAGCCAGTAAGGAGCTTTTAAAGTATACCCTTAACAGCATTTTCTCAAGTTATTCTATCATTAAACCCTCGGGTACACAATCATGAAATGTATACATATAGCCATCATTAATAGCAATCTTTAATAATATATTATGTTAATTTACATCTTAAAAACATATTAAATTGCAGAAATTGAACTTCATCCTTAAAGTTTTGAATTATGTGTGTAAATATAAGGGCAAATGTATGATAATGTCTACATAAATTTTAGGTAATATATCATCATAACAGGGCTGTCAACATCATAAAATGAAAAATCGTGAGAATATATAGGTCCAAGGGCCACTCAGACACCTAGAGACTGGATATTTTTCCATTTATCTATTATTCCGTCAAAATGATTGAGATCGCATTAAGTTATAGCATTGAATCAAAAACTGACAATTAATACAATCAAGTGCTGTAAGAACTATGGGGTTTTTTTTTTTAACTTTAATTTATAGTGAAAACTGAAGGACAGGTATAGAAATATCATTATTTAAAACTATTGACAGAGAGAAACGGAAAACGTAAGGATAAATAGATAAACTGTAAGGCATAAACCCAGTACATACACCAGTATAAGATGCTCAAATCGTAAGCCTTACCCCAAAATCATAAGGGTTGGCAGTTCTGTACTGACTGAGCTATTTGTAAAGCAAAATTGAAAGGATAAAGCCCCCACCCACCCCATTCAGTGTACCAGTTATTTATATTAAAATTAGAAGCTAATCTAGAACATTCATTCTTACCACTTCTTCACAGAAGAACTGTAAATCTAGCCAGCTAATGGTGGTGGTGGTGGTCACTTTGAATACATTCACACTTCTTACATCTAACCAATTAACAGCTATAGAAAATGTGTCAACTGTGTCATTCTGTTAGCTAAAACAAATAAAAATGAGCAAATATAAAAGAAATTAAAACTGCATGATCTAGATACTAAAAATGTATGCATGCTGGTTTGCTTCTAAGATGAATGCATTATATATAATTGAGCTTAATTAAAACCTGCATGATTAAAAAAAAGTGAACAAAAAATTCTACATTACAAAAAAATCCAAATTACATATTTAATCATGTGAATGAATCTATATCTGAAAGTAAGCTGACCAAAAAAGCTGGCAAAAAAAGTTGAATAACCATATAAGTTTGAAGGACTCGGTCTGATTCAGCTAGTTCAGTTTCATATTTAACAAACATTCAATCAAAGTTTGAATAAATCCTCCAAATTTAAACAGGTAACAGTGATCAATATTAAGAACAGAAAACCCACACCTCATTCCTATATTTATGCTAGGATTTAAAACCTAAAACAAACTTGGAAGCTCTCCAGGTATGTAAAACCTTCTTCAAAGTGAAAGTAATTACATGACACTTATACAGGTACTCGTTAAGTGTTTCAGCATGAAAGGTGTCTTAACTAGAAATGACTTACAAAGTGAAATTAAAGTGTTAAAATTGAATGTAAAAGGTTTTTGATGAAAGATAGAACTCACTTAAAATGATTTCAAACTATACAAATAAGAAATTCAGGCTTCAAAAAAAAAATCTCTGCACATGAATTAAATATGTGAGGTACACCTGTCCATAAAAAAGTTTTCTAAAAAAATTCATAACACAGACAATTATTATCCCTTATATTTTTAAACACACATCTTTGAATCTTTTTATGCTAAGTATGCACAAAATAATTCACATGTCCCTCGTTTAGTTAATATTCAATAACATATGAATCACATATATCCATCATGCATTAATTAAAATATAAATCAAAACAATATAGACAATTAACATACCAAAGAAACAGATCTTAATATTCCTAGTCAATGAAATACCTTTGTATGTTAAACAATACCATTTATGGCATAATACATTTCATCTCAGAGTCATGTGAACATTACCTCGACATTTTGCAATATCTATACCTAAAGATTGCTTGACTAAATGAACCTGAAAGAATTCTGTGAACTCCTAAGTCAATACTCGGAGAACATTCAACTGGGAATGTCAACATCTGTTTACAGACAGTGAAAGGGATTTATTTATTTCCATTTCAGCTACTGAATACTTATAAGCTACCTCAAAGAAAATGAAAGAAAACATGTTCTATTTAATTGTTATCTGCAGGAACATGCACAATAAATAATATCATGTCTTTACAAAATAGCTCATTAATTAACAATTTGAGTAATGAATGAAATTAATACGGAAAGAACCAAATTTTACTTAGAACAGCTTTATGATATAAAGTATCTTCTACAGCAAATATGTATAAACCATTAACAGCTTAATTCTTAATTAAAATGAATCAATTTGATTATGTCTGTACATATACATAATTAAGAGACTTTATTTTTTACTTTTAACAAACATTTCCTATAGCAAGGTTATTGAAGCTTTTTTGGATACAAAAGGGTATCATAATTGTTGACATTGATGTGTATATATACATGTAGCTAGTTTCACTTCAACATGAATTTTAGAACACTTTTTAAACTCAAAATATGTAGTTGAACTTTGATATCTCAAACATCAATATCTTGAATACCATGGTTTGATTGATTATAAGATGTTACACATCCCATTCAAGAATTTTTCACTCATATAAAGATGTCGATCACCATATGCTGGTGCTTCATGCACCTATACTCGGAACTCAGGGCCATTGAAAAAGCAGCAAGGGTTCTTCATAATGCCAATGCCTACCATCACAGTATGGACCTCAGTTTTTAAGGTCTCATCCAAAAGACCTGTGACTTTCACTTCAAATGTTGGGTATTTGCTAAAGGAATAGTCACTATATACCTTTGCTTACGTCTTGGGTTTGAGAAATGAGAACTGAATTGGGCCATCCGATCACAAAGTAAATGCCCTCCCACTAGGCTACTGTGACAGGTTGAATACCATAGATATATTCAAGTGAGTTGGAACAAAGTCTCACTTTTTTCTTATATATTTAAATTTAACCTCAATATCTTGAACTCTCTGATATCTCGAGGTTTTTTCTTGGTCCCATATTGAGTTTGAAATAATGAGGCTTGCTTGACTATTTTAATTCATATTAACTCATAAAATGCTTAATATGTTATTACTTTTCAATCATTTACATTCTCTTGAAAATATCTTTCTACACAGTAATTTAACAAATACACTACTTAAAAACTTCTTTTTATTTAGTCACACTACTTCTAAATAAATTTCAGTAAATTAATTTATATACATCGAGTAATTATAGTTTTTCCTAATTTAAAACATGCTTGAATGTGTAGTCATATTGCAAATCAATTTTACAGAAAATAAATGAGTAATCATTATACTGGTATCTCTATTTTCTTAAAATATACAGATAATCTGAACACTACCTGATGTGTATAGAACTTGCCCCCTTAGTGTGACACACGGAGTGACATTGGAGGAGACAATGATCATTTCCTGTTGGACGTAAGACAGTTAAGTGTATACAGACTGTACACTACATGGAGTAGGAAAGCTTATTCCCTTCCTGCCAGAGAAACTGAGATCAGCTTCCTGTATCATGTATCTTAAGAACTCCATTATCTCTCTTTTAAAGGGGTATATATATGTACATGATTTGGACCTTTGTTAAGTACCAGCTTAATAAGACAGTGTATACACGTACTAGCTGCCAATTTTCCTTCAAGGATGAATTTCTTAATACTTACATACACAAATCAATGTTTGTAAAAGAAAAACTTGTAGTACTGTTTATTTTAAATTTATAGCAATTGCTATCTTGTGTGTATAAATGTAGACTAGCTGATAGGGGTCTTAACCATTTACTATTTATATGTAGTTATAAAAATAATTATATTAATTAAAATGTTTATTACAGTTAGGTTTTGTAATATAGATTATAATTAAGACAGGCCAGAAAATAAAAATTAATAAAAGGAAACTACAATTCATTAATGTGAAAAAAAGGCATCTAAAATACTTCTTCAAAAGTATTAAAGTACGACAAACCAAAAAGTACATTTAATTGTTACCAGAAATGAAACACTTCACTTTTCTTTATAATATCATTACATGTACTAATAGGGTTGTCCCTAAGAATTAAAATAGCTGGGGACATTAAAAAAAGTAGAAGGGGGTCTTGGGTTCCTCTCTAAACAGGGAGATGAGGGGAATACAGGAGTAACAGGGATTACAACATTATAGGTGGGGGAAATTCCCCAGCCCCCAGGTCTTATAGACAACCCTGATATTACACTAGTAGTAAATCTGCTCTGAAGTTATTGCAAAATTAAGGGCTTAATGCAGCATATGTATATGCCACCACAAAACTTGAATTAATTCAGAATTATTATGCTTTAACTTTATAATAATTATCCTTCCACTCTAACAAATCAAAACTAACAGTCAACAATGTCATATGCAAATTTGATAAAATCACGAAAGAAACTCATTATATGATATAATTACATGTATAGCCACATGGGTTAATCCTTATAGAACATGAAAATTTTACCTGGTAGATCTTGGTCTTAGAAATTATAAGTACAGTACCAGGTATTTATACATTATTGGAGACTACAAGTGATCTGGAGTTATTTTAAAGCAATTGCCTTATAAATCTACTAGAATTTGAAATCCATCCAATATCTTTTAGTAATGAATAAATATATTACAAAGATACCCAGAGTATTGCATTCAAGAACACATTTATAAACTGACATTTAAACACTAGTGTGTATTTGTGTTTTTAAGGTTCAAACTTGTTCATAAGATGGTACCAGGTAGTTAAATTTAAGGATTCACTAAAGATTTTAATTGATGGACAATTTATACATTCAACTATACACATATATATAAATGTAATATAGGGACATTTTTCCATGCAACTTTTAGATGAACTTTAATAATCATGTACATGCAATACCATAGGAGATGATATCACATCAGGATCGACAACTGAGAGATTATCAAAGTGATTAATACAAGTAAAATTAAGTTATCATAAAACAAACAGATTTCTCATTCAGAGGAAAAAACCACTAACTGATGTAATAATATAAATGCAACTGATGTAATAATATAAATGCAGTTGAACTGAAGAAAAGATGACCATTGTCAGAATTTCTGGACATTTAATTCTAGCTGCTATTCTTGAATACACATCATTTCAGGTGCGGATCCAGGAATTTTTTTTCAATTGGGGGGGGGGGGTGTCAAAAAATGTCCAATACAAATGAGAAAAAAAAACCATTTCATTCTGGTGATGGTGGGGTCCATGCTTTTGGGGGGGGGGGGGGCTAAAATCATTTCTTATTTGCTTCAGTATATACTTTTAATAACTCTGCAAATTCTGGGGATGGGGTGGGGGGACCCCCTCCCCCCTCTAGATCCGTGCATGTATTTCATTCATCCATGCTATAAATGTCAAACAAATCTTTTCATACATTTTTAATTATCATCACAAAATGCTTTGGTGATTTTAGGACTTAATTTATTTCAAGATTTTAGAGACCTACCAGTAATATTATTTCAAATTTGACCTAATTTCACAAAAGACATGAGCAGCTTTGATAAAATTCATTTTATATTAAAACATAGGTACATGTAATTAAAGAATACAGAGCTCATCTCGACAGATTATAAGTTATCTAGAAGTAATTTTTAAAGCAAAGACTTGTGCCATATGATTGTTCTCTGTAGATGCAACATCAATGCAAGTTTGTTTAGCTTTACCTGCTTTGAAAACTTAACAGTTCAGTCATCCAGTAAACAAAGGTCAGATTCAGCATCCAAAGCAATTCTGTTATTGTGCATCTCTAGATTGTTCATTGTGGCAAATATTACTCAATCCTAGACATGTTTGAAAACAATACAATATGTCTGAAAACAATATCAAATCAACATGC